CATGCAGTTGAGGTTATCTTAAGTGCCTTCTAAACAAAGGGCACATTGCCTAGAAAGCTTGGGCAGAATAGAAGCACCCAAAGTGTAATTATAGCTATTCTGTTACCAAAAACCCATGTTTATGAGTCCTCCATTGAGACAGGACAGGATGATATTGCTAAGAACAAGGATCTTTCCTTCACCTTTACCCTCTTACCTAGATGCTAACTAAGATCAAAGGCAAGATTTTTATTTATTCACCAGCATCCTGTACATGTTCAGAGGGATCTCAGTGGCCTCCCAGTGAGAATTTTAATTGTAAACAATGCTTTAGAATGCCTTTCTCTTGAACTCAGAGCAAAGAACTGAGGTACTTATGTACATGTGGGGTTTTTAAAATATTTTTTTAATTTTTCAATTACAGTTGATGTGTACAATATTATATCAGTTTCAGGAGTACAAACCCACAATACCCTCTAGGTACACCCATATTGTTGCAGATGGCAAGATTTCATTCTTTTATGGCTGAGTCATATTCCATTATATATATGTACCACTTCTTTATCCATTCATCTATTGATGGACTCTTAGGTTGCTTCCATATCTTGGCTATTGTAAGTAATGCTGCAGTGAACATGCAGATGTATATGTCTTTTTGATTTGGAGTTTTGGGTTTATTCAGATAAATACCCATAAGTGGAATTGCTGGGTCTTTTATTGTCTCTTGTTATAGCTTTTGTTTTAAAGTCTCTTTTGTCTGTTACAAGTATTGCTATGCCAGCTTTTTTGTTTGTTTCCATTTTTAGAAAATATCTTTTTTCGTCCCTTTACTTGCAGTCTATTTGTGTCTTTCGATCTAAAGTGAGTCTCTTGTAGAAAGTATATGTAAGGGCCTTGTTTTCTGATCCATTCAGCCACCCTATGTCTTTTATTTGGAGCATTTAATCCATTTTCACTTGAAGTCATTGCTGATGGATATGTATTTTTTACCATTTTATTATAGATATTTTGTTTATCTTTTTTCTTCTTCTTAAAAAAGACCCTTTAACATTTCTTGTAATTCTGGTTTGGTGGTGATGAACTCCTTTAGCTTTTTCTTGTCTGAGAAACTCTTATCTGTCCTTGGATTCAAAATGATAACTTTGCTGGGTAGAGTAATCTTGGTTGTAGGTCCTTGCTTTTCATCATTTTGAATATTTTGTGCCAATCCCTTCTGGCCTGCAAAGTTTCTGTTGAGAAATCAGCTGACACTCTTATGGGAGCTCCCATGTAGGTAACTAACTGCTTTTCTCTTGCTGCTCTAAAGATTCTCTCTTTATCTTTCATCTCTGTCATTTTAACTATGATGTGTCTTGGTGTGGGCCTCTTTGGGTTCATCTTATTTGAGACTGTCTATGCTTCCTGGACTTGTGTGTCTTGTTCCTTTACCAGGTTAGGGAGTTTTCAGTCATTGATTTTTCAAATAAGTTCTCACTCCCTTGCTCTCTCTCTTTTTCTGGTACAGGTAGTTTTAGTGGTTACCCACATTCCCTGATATTTAGTAGCTACTTTGGATAGCATTTAAAATATGAAACTTAGGTAAATGAGAGAGAGCAAGAATGAGGAATTGAGTAACCATTATCTGAAGATTTGCAATCAAAGGACCCTAGTAAGAATAAATAAAGTACGGTAAATTAATTGATTATATTAAGTTAAAAATTAGGAATGTCTGACTTAATACACTCATCCATCCATTCATTCATCCTAGTTAACACATTTCTTGAATGTCCACAATAGGCTCTAGAGATACAAATGTACTTGGTACCAGCACCTTGACTGTCACATTTCCTGCCATGGAGTTGGCTAAACTCCCCACCCATGGTTGTTTTCTAACGACAGTGCCTGCCAAGTGTGGAACATGCTGTGGCCCCAGTACAACAGGAGTCCTCTGTGGACTTGGACTGTCCTCTCCTCTTCTCTGTGTTCTTTAAGTTCTTCTGCACTTTTGATCCCCTTTTACCTCAGCCCCATTTACCTTCCTACATTTCCATAAAGAGCTCAAATGAGTAGTTCTGAAAGGTTCAGCCTAGCCAAAGTTTCTTTGACATCTAAAGATGACTCTGCCATTTATAAAGGGGAACCAAGGAGAAATCCTATGCATCGAATGTCATTTCAAAGCCAGCTTTGCTGGGTACAGCTATTCATTGCATATACCTTTCTTAAAAATTATTTTTATTTTTATTGCACAGACAACTTTTTATGACTATTACCATATTCATCTAAATCAGATATCAACCAACTGCAGCCCATGGACCAAATACAGGTCATTCTTTGTTTTGTAAATAAAGTTTTACTAGAACGTAGCATATTCATTAGTTTATATTTTGTCCATAGCTACTTTCGTGATACAATTTCAGAGTTGATTTGTTACAACATCGACTGTATGACTCTCAAACCCAAATAAAATATTTGCTATCTGGCCCTTTACAGAAAAAAGTTTACCAACCCCTGATCTAAGTTAAAATGCCCTCTATTGTAAAATGCAGCATTAGTTTATGTACCATTAATAAAGAAAAAATAGTATGCTACTTAAACTATGACAAGCCATCAATTGTAAGACTTCTAATTTTAGTGACATTAAAATATGAAAATATAATCTTAGAATCAATTAATTATGATATATAGGACTTCAAATAAACTACGGTTTTCGTATCAACATGCATAGATCCCAAATGCTTAATGTTGAGTGAAAAGCAATTTGCAGAATGATGTGAACAGCATGATATTATTTTTATCTCTTAAAAAACACAAAACAATGTTATGAGTTTCTATGAATGCAGATATGGGTAGGTAAGCATAATTTAAAAGAATTAGAAGGATTTAAAGAAAACTGATGATAAAAGTTTTCCCTGAGAGGAGAAGGGATCAGTGTGATTATGGAAGACAAGGGGAGGTTTATCTTTATCTGTAATGTTCATGTTTTTTTAAAAAGGTGATTTATTAATACAAAACACTTTTTTTTTTGGTTAATCCTCACCTGAGGATATTTTTGCCATTGCTTTTTCAGAGAGAGTGGAGGGGAGAGAGAGAGAAACACTGATGTGAGACACAC